TCCATGATTCTCTAGCAATCAGGCGTTCGAGTTACCTAAGCACATTGAGACAGCCAGCCCCGATCTTTTTATTGTAAGGATGGAAAGAGAAGTAATAAATATGTGAAAGGAGAAAATGTTGCAAGTCCGGGAGGGTTGCAACCATAGCCAATACCCAAACAAGTATGATCAGACATTTCCATGGATTTCATTGAAGGATTACTTGTTTCATTTGGGAAGAATACAATCATGGTGAAGGATGATTGCTTGACCAAATATGCACATTTTTGCCCTCCGAGCCGCGGCCACAATAGCACAAACATTTGTAGATCAGATCTCTAAATTGTACGGAATGCCCACATTAGTGATAGGGATGTTATCTTTACGAGCAACTTGGGCAATAACTAATGAGCTATTACAACTACTCGAAACAAACTTGCAAGCTGCTCAATTTCATATGAAGCAAAATGCAGATAACCACAAGAGTACAAGACTGAACATGAAGCCAAAGAAGGAGATTGGATGTTTTTGAGGTTACAATCTAATACACAATCAAGAGTGCCTCTACTAGAATTTATGAAGAACTCTCCAAGGTTCAATGGACCGTATGGAATCGTTCCACCTATTTGGCCAGTAGCATACTAGTTCATCAGTCCTATAAATTCCAAAATTCACCTTGTTTTACATTTATTTTGCCTCAAGAACAAGTTCAGGCAGCATGTTGAGAATCATGATGAATTACCACTAGTCTCAGAAGAGGGTATAGTACAACTTCAGCCACATGAAAATGCCACGTGGGAAGTTCCAGATTTCCAGCCTTTAGGGCAAGGTTGGTCTGCAAAGAGTATGGAATTTTGAGAGAGGAGGCCAAGTAAGCAGGGATTTAAATTTTAAATTTGGGCTAGGTAGTTTGGAAGCTTTTAGGAATTTAAATTTCAAGTTTTATGTGGAAATAAGGAGATTAAAACTTTGGGGGCAAGAGGGAGAAGGGAAGAAAACTTTTTGTGTGAAAACTCAGAGAGGACTCTCACATCGAGATAGGATGTTTCTCACTTTAGCACATTTAATGTCAATTTCTATTTCATAGTTTATTTGAATTCAATATCACAACAACATCACAGAGAAATTAATCAAATACGTAAAAAATTTCAGTTTTGATAAGAAAAATTGAACACACTGCAAATTCCCTGATTGTTTTTTGGTAAGCTAAGTGTCCTGATTTAACAGAAAAACAGTCAAGAAAGGATCCAATACTGCAATGGTTCAGCTTCAGTAAAACACACATGCCACATCATATATTGTGATGCAAGCAAAAAAAAATCAATTTAACATCTTATCTGAGAAATGAGAATGTTTGGCCAACGCAAGTGTCAGTTATACTGTTTCCTAGGCTATAAAATCCACTATCACAGTAATATTTAAAATAAAAAATAACAGACAAAATTGCAAAAACTCAAACTTTGAAAAGTATCTGACCTCAGAGATGATCTGGCAAGATCGAAACCTAATGGTCTTGTGTGATGCAGAGGAGAGTGAAAGCAACATCTTCAAGAATTCTTCTAAAAAGGCATCGGAATCTTGTGCATTCTTCTCATCCCTGTAAGCTGCAAAACCTGCTAAAACCTTAACAAGCCTTTCAGTGCCCAAAACCCTTTTCTGGGCAAGGAAAAGAGGCCTTAGGGTTTTCCAATATGGCTCTACAAACCTCCCTGGAGATGAGGCCCGAAGGGCCATCAACTCCTTCATTTTTCGGGCATGAATGGCATTAGACTCCTGACACTCGTTAAAAACCTTAGCAATCATCAGTGACAAGTCCTGTGCTTTCTTCGCCATGGTGAAAACTATTGAAAACCAAAAGTTGACCGAAACTGCAGATGGTCAATAAGGGGCACAGGTTCTCGCGTCCACGATGTAGAGCCCTAGATTTAAAACATTCACTGAAACCCAGGAAATTTCAGAAACGTAGATCAATTCTCCATTTCCATAGCCCTCTGAGCAGCAGAATGCACAAAAAATACACCTTTCTATGAATAAGGATGTAACTTCAAGCAGAATCACAGATTTCAGATAACAGGAAATTCAGGAAGTGCATCCATTACAGTTTGGAACCCCAGATATTCACACTAAAAATAAAAACCCCCTAAAAAGTAAAACCCTAGAAATAAGCAGAGCCAATGCATCGCTTGAAACGTCAAGGATTAACAACTCGGATCCCAATTCCTTGTTATCCAAAATTATCAAACGAAGAATATCAGAGAAACTTGAAACCCTAGAAATTTGGAAAGGCACTCAAATCGCATAGAACCCAAATGGATGGCCCTGAACTCCAGTCATTCACGGCAATGGATCCACTTTAACAGTGGCAAACTTCCAGAGCCCCAGAAAACTTTGCAGGAGATATTAACAAAATTTATTCAGTCCCATTCTTCAAGGGTTTTTCAGCGCTCTATAAATTTTTTGTTTAAATGTAGAGGCGGGAAAGATCGTGGCACCCTGTTTAAATCAAACTTTTGAGCTGTAATAATTATATTGGGAGTCATGATCATACGAGACCTTCCTATACGCATGTATGTAGGATTCCAAATGATCATTATTAAATTTGGTATAGATTTTTAGAAAAGTCAAATCTCATATCCATATGATAACTTTTCTAAAGATATGTACCAAATTTAATGATGACCTTTTTAAAGTTCTACACACATGGGTAACATGGGTGTGGGAATGTCTCTTAGGATCATTACTTTTATAATAATTAATAACAAAATTATTTTATGTAGACTATGCGGTCCCCAAGTATAAAGCATCCATTTTAAATATGGATGCAAATAGGTGGTCCATCTAAAAACAATTGAAACTATCTGTCAAAATATTTTTTAATAGAATTAGTATTTTAAATTTTTAAAATTTATTAATTTTTTCATATTCATGATCTTCATGTTAGAGATTACATGTCCTTAAAAGTTAAGTCCAAAAATCCATCTCAAAATAGATTATTTAAGAGGGGACTCATTTCTACCTAGACTCATAGAAACCATGTCCTAAATAATATATATGAAATTAATATATATATATATAACAAAAAAAATTATTACATATAATAATTATATATAGTTATAATAATTATATAACTATATATTTTAAGGTTATGTTAGAGTGTCACACTATAGAGTATTTTATAATAATTGTACTCAACAAATTTTGGACACTTATATACCATTCTTTTGTATAAGGAGCATTTTTTTAAGTAGGGTATTTTTGGTCACTTGTTGGCAAATCGGGATAATCCAAATTCCAATATGATGTGGCGAGCACTCTACAACAATGATTCCACCACGCAAACAAAATACCCAAAAATAACAATGTGTTGAATATATTTGAAAAAAATATAAAAACAAGTAAAACAAGTAAAATGAAAAATCACCAAACCACAACATAAATAAAAAAGTCAAAGGCACACACATTTACATTGTTCACTCAAAAATTGGTTAAATCCACTTGTAAGAGGCAGTGATGCATTCACCATTAATGGAAGAAATTTTACAAAATTTTGGTGTTTTGTAGAGATTACCTCATACAAAATGACAAAGAAAATTCAAATCGATATTTTCTACTACAATATTAACATCAACCGACTCATATCTTCATCACCATCAACTAAGTTCGCAACACAGAAAAAATACCAATGAATAATCAGCCCAATACAATACCACAATGGTACTAAGGTTCTTGCAAAAACCACCAATATCTATCTCCCAAAATTTCTCTACACTTCTTCTTCTTCTTTTTCTCCAAAAATGCCTTTTCTGGGCCTCCATAAAAGGCTTATTTTTTGTAATGAAATACCCCTCATGAAAGAAGGAATGCCATATGGGAGTGATTTTGGCATTACATCCCAACAATTTCCACTTGATGTAAAATCAAACCCTTGTCTAGCCAACAATATCAAGTTATTTCCTTTTTTTGAATAACTTAGTGAACTTAAGCAATGTCGTAAGCTCTCTAGCCTAATAACCGCTATGAGCATGCCTTGCTCATCTTCCTTCGTGTTTGTTCTTCTTATTCGAACTCCACCTTCAATAATCTCATCATTGAGTTCTTGAGGCCATCTTACCTTCATACATACTCTTAAGTGGATAATTTTCTACACACCTATAAGTATAACCAATGCTTGATCTCATATAAGCGAGATTCCTTGCATAAGTCTTTCCTACAAAGTCTTTTTTGTGCTCAAAACCTTGGTAATGCATACCCATACTTATCAAATTTTGAAGTAACCATTTCATTCCATCCCAACATTTTTTTTATAGGCTAAACACAAACCAATCAAGAGAGCAATAAACAAGTGAAGTGACAAAATTCATATAAATCATGACAATAATCAAAATCAACAATTGAGTATCATGCTTATGAAATAGCTAATCTTCATAGTTGTAGAGCAATCCAGCGTGCAAGATGGATCATGCCTCCTTTAAACACCTATAAACTCAACTTTGATGGCAATTCCTTTGGAAATCCAATAACAATGGGTTTTGGGGGGCTTATCAGAGATCATCTTGGGAAGATCTTATTGTCTTAATCTGGTCCTTGTGGTAATACAACAGTCAATGAAGCATAAGCTAGAGGTCTATCGAAGGGAATTAAATTGCTTTTAAAATTTGATGGAGGAAATGTTAATGAAGGGGATTCAACAGATATTATAGTATGGTGTAAAAGAGAAGCGAGAGTTCCTAGGAGACTCTCTTCCTTTTTTTATGAAATTGGTGACATTCTTCAGTCACTTGAGGTTGAAATATGCCATTGTTACCGTGAAACAAACGTTGAAGCTTGATTCTTTAGCCAAGGGCAATGCCTTTCAATCCTCATTGGTGATTACCAATTTTGTATGATGTACCTTTATGTATTTTGTTTCCCTTGTAACATCGTTGGTTTATAGTAAATAAAAGTCATGCGTTAATGTTAACAAAATAAAATAAAATTGAGTATCATGCAACACTCTAATCACATCAACCCTTCTGTCACCAAATTTTGAATATTGGCCTAAAGGAAATTCATGTGGTGTTTCGGCTCACACCCCCTTATAAAAAATCAAAATTTTCAATCTCTCCACCTTGATGACTATCCTTATCAAGACCTTACTTTATACTTCCACGATTTTCCATTGCCAAATCATGTACCTCCTTTTAAGCTTTATCTTTATCTACAACCAAATTTACCTTTCACTTATAACTGTGCTCCATAATAACTTATACAAGTTTCTTTTACGGACTCCGTCATCATAACTAGAGCCCGATTTGAAACTTTGAAAACTCCACCTTGCCCGGTAAATTTGTAGTATTCCATATCTAAAAAAAAAAGTGAAATTTGGCACATGCCTCATATTTTCAAGTGTATAAATCATCCCATCATACATCTTTATGTGAATCGTGCTCATTTCGATCGTCTTACTCATTGAATTATTTCCCATTAATACTATACCGCTCTCATGTGACTCATATGCATCAAACCATGATTTGTACAGGCACATGTAATGTGTGGCTCCACTATCAAAAACCCAATTTTGATAGTACATAGGATTACATCAAATACGGGGAGTCGAGACCTCCTCACATACCATCAAGAGTAAATAAGAGACTCAACTCTTCCTTCTTTTTCGGAAAAGGTTTATATGCTTCCCATACGGCATAAAAGATATATATACTTCCTCCTTAATCCAGCCGTCCAATTTAGATCTAGTGAGTCACTAACCATTTAATCTAGATCCGACGCCTCAGAATATTTGTTTTTAATTTTTTTTTCTACTAACTATATGAACATGAAATTTGATATGTGGCATCATCTCAATGGGGCGCATCTAAATAAAATATTTTAAAAAATATTTTTGATAAAATACAATACCAAAATACCTTTGAAACTTTTAGAGGCATTTTAGTCATTTTATATTATTGGAAATAATTCTTTTATATTTTTTATAGGTGCGACTTCAAGAAAGAATGAGATGCCCAAATTTTAGTGTCAAAATGATTTGTATAGAAAATATTAAAAATAAAATAGTATAAAGGGTGACATTGTGATTGGGGCAATCTAAGCAGTCCACTTAGAATGGGCGGTTAAACATGTGGAAGTATAGAAGTTTCATATTGTAGGGGAAGCATAAAAAACTTGCCCTTCTTTTCTTACCTCAAATGTTTTTATTCAAATCAAAAGCCATCCTCTCATAAATTACATGTGCTTCCCTTTTATGCACTTACAACTTGCTTTCTAAAACTCCCCACAAAAGAAAAAAAGGACTTCTACCACTTCAACATTAATCCGAATAGGTGGTTTCCATATCACGTGAACCATGTCCTTATCCAACTTATTCATATATATATATATAAAAAGACGACATCAACTTCCTAAAAGAAACCAACAATCATCTAGTCCTCATATTTTCCAAAAAAAAAGCTTCAAAAATAAAAAATGTAGCCTTCTATTTTTTTTTTAAAAGCTTACTGAAGATTAAGACTAAATATTGAGATAAATTCGTATCATGCAACAAACACTCTAAAATAGTCTTTTAAATAAGGGAAAAGTTTTAATAAGATTACAACCCTATTCCAAGCTTGCAACCTTTTTCACCGTCAAATAAGGACAGTGCATACTGAAAAAAGGAAAGGTGATACGAGAAAACGAAAAACAGAAAGCCCCAATTCTCTTTTCAATTTCCCTCCAAATTCTCCCTCTATTCTTCTTTGACATTTCTCTCTCCATCATCATGTTCAACAGATTGATAGCTCTGGCCAGGACAGACCCTTTCAGAGAGAGAGGCACAGAGAGAGAAGATCGAATGAGCATTAGGGTTAGGATTAAAAATGCCCCAGCAGCTCAGAGAGTGAAAAGGCTGAGAGGGTATAAAGAGAATATTGAAGGAAACGGGAGAGCATATCGAAGAAAAGTAGAGAGAGAGAGGTACAAATAGAGAAGATTGAAGGAAAGCATTAGGGCTAGGGTTTGAAAGGTCCTGAGCATTTGCTGCCACTTGAAATTAACCCAAGTCAAGGAAGAATTGCAAAGTTTGAGAAAAGTTTGATGACTTTCTCCAGCACCTCAAGCAAGCCATCATCTATATACTATGTGTTTCGTAGTTCGAAATTCGGAGCAATCTCTCTAGGTATTTATTGTTTTACCTTTGTGAAGATTTTTTTTCCTAAATCAATCATTTTGTTACATATGAGCTGCTGTATTCTTCTTTTTTTCTTGGTGATTTCTTTGGGTATTTGTTTTGCCCTAATGATGATTCTTTGTGCAAATTAAATTTTTGGTGCATCTGAGCTATTCTCTCTTTTTTTTTGCCTTACATTTTCTTCCATATAAAGTTATTGTTCATGCATTCATTGCTTGCCTGAATTTTTGGTCGATGTTTATTCTGCCAAATTCACAATTTTGAAAGAACCTTGGGTTCAATCATTGAATGTATTTTGCAGTTTTTTTCCATCACTTTTTGTTTTGGGGAAAAATATTTTTTGGATAAATGGTGATCAGATTAGCGTGAACTACAAAAGAATCATTCTCAATTCAAGATCAACAATTTGGTGGATTTAATTTTGTTATTTACTTTGGAACTGGGCTACAAATTATCTAAGATCTCAATCCACTTGCTAAATTAGTTTGAATCATGCCTAGCAAACAAAAGAAATCAAACCAATAGCTCTAGAAAATAAAAGGAAGGAAAGATTTTAGCCAATTGAATAATTTTCCTAAAAATTGCAAATACCAAAACTATTGTGTTTGGTAAATGGATTTTGAAATGGTGGCGATCAGAGATGTTGCAAAATTTTTGTAAATTTGTAGCGACATGTTGGATAAAGTTTAATATTTTCTGCTTATACAATATACATAAATTTTTTTAGTATGTTAAAACATTCAAATACTCATTTATAGAAAATTTAAATTTTTTGTTGAAAGATTTAAATCTTATTAACTTTGAGTTTAGTAAATGATAATGATCACTCCTATAGTTTATATTTATATATTTTTGCGGCTTTTGTAATTGATAGTGAGAATTTCAATATATTTTTAAAATTATTATTTGGAACTTAGATTTTTCTTGGTTTTTGCAAATTTTTCGTAGAGGGAATTTCAATATTTCTCAAACCATTAATTGAACTTTACATTTTGTTTTTTGATTTTGAACTCATTTATGTCAGATAAATGAGTGTTATGCACTTGGCAATGAACATTACATGCATGAATTAACAGGAGCTTGATGTGGATGATGTTATGAAATTTTGGCAATTGGGGATATTGCAATTTTTCTGTAAATTTGCAGCAACGTGCTAGTTGCACTAATCTTTATGAGAATATTAAATATTTTATGTATATGAATGAGGAATAATGGCTTGCCAATTATTTGTATAATAAGAGTTTTTGATGTGTATATAGATGAGAATGTAAAGAGAGAATGGGGGTGCTAATTGATGATAGAAGATTTATGTGTATATCGGTAACACACTTAAGATGTTTTTTAGTTCATGGTTTTGTTGCTATTGTTGTTTGTGATGAAGATAACCATCTTAGAAATATTAGAAGTGTTAAACGAATAGTAATTAAAGCCTGATACTTGTATGATACTGAGAAGTCTTTAATTCTAGCCCTAGAGTTTTTTTGAATAATTTTGACTTAAAATGAGTCGATAACTATCTAATTAGAATTTCCTTTCATCTTTATGGTTCCATAAAATAGATCTAAAGCTGGGTACAAAGAACATAATTGACATGGAGGTGGAGAGAAGCAAAGGCGATTGGAATTGGTCAAAATATGGTGATCGCAGAGATTTACAGAGCTACTGATGCTATATGAAAAATCAAAGCATTATAGAGAGCATAAAAAATCAGAGCACCACAGAGAAACAAAGGAACATAAGAGCGAGAAACCAAATTGATAAGAAACCAAAACAGGTGAAAAAGAAGCCAAAAACCCAAAAATGCACCATTTATAGATCATAAAGAAAAATTTCATCTAAAAAATCTTCTGCAACAACCCATCGTTCCAAATCCCTTTTGGATTGCTGAGAAAAATTAAAAACAACAAAGAACATACCTAAAATAGCTTCAAGGGCTTGAAGAGCGAGGACATAATGATATGAGAGCTGATGGCTTCAGATGAGGGCTAGGGGTAGAGGGATTTGCACAAAGAGAGAGAGAGAGAGAGAGAGAGAGAGAGAGAGAGAGAGAGAGAGAGAGAGAGAGAGAGAGAGAGTAGTAGTAGTAGTAGTAAGTTAAGTTAAGTTAACGTTAGTTAACGTTACGTTACGTTTACGTTAACGTTTAACGTTAACGTTAATTAACG